CCCAACATGGGACTGGCATGCACTGCCACCAAGGGTGGTGTAAAAGATAGGTTCTGGGGCAGCTGGTTAGCTCACTTGGTTAGAGTGCAGTGCTCATAACACCAAGGTTGCTGGTTCAATCCCCACTTGAGCCATTGAGATTCTTCCTCCACAACTAGATTAAAACAACTACTTGACTTGGTGCTAATGGGTTCTGGAAAAACACACTTTTCCCCAGTTTAAAAAAAAAAGAAAAAAGATAGGCTCTTTCTAGGAATTGGAAAACAGGCATTAAGGCAACAGTCAATCTTGGTCAGCCCTCCACTGAGACTGAGTTTGTCAGAGTCACCAATGACCTCCATTTTGCTCAAATCTCATGGTCATTTTTTGGTTCTCGTCTTGTCTGGCAGCCATCTTTGACACAGTTCATCACTCTCTCCTCTTTGAAATACTGTCTTTTCTTGGATTTTGGTTTTGCTCCTTCCCTACTTGCCACTGTTCCTCAATCTCCCTTGCTTATTCTCACCCGTCTCCTCACTTCTCAATGTTGTAGGGCCTAGGACTCAGGCTTAGGACTGCTTCTAACTACCCTCACTCCCTTGGCGATTTCTTCTGATTTCATCACTTTAAAAGCTGTCTCTATGCCTGTAACTCCCAGCCCAGGACTCACCCCTGAATTCCAAATGCATAGGTCCAATTGCCTTTCAGATATCTTCATGTGAATACTCATTATAGGCACCAAAAATTTAAACTGCCCCAGTCGAGCTCAACAAAGCCTGCTGCTCTGGGCTTTTGCATCTGCTATTCTTTTGAACAAAATGCTCTTCCCTGAAATAATCAAATGTCATCATTTCAGGAAAATCTCTGCTTGCCTCCTCATTTTAAATCACTATCCTCCTTCCCTCAGCACTCCCTATTTTTCTCCAAAACGTTTATTGCCATTTAACAAACTATATATTTTACTTCCCCATCATGTTTATTGTTATCTCCCTCACTAGAGGTCCATGAGGGCAGGGAACTTCTGACTTTGGTTCATTGCGTTAATGCCTTGTGCTTACAACAGTGTCTGGGGCATATTTAGCACTCAATAAATATTTGTTGAACGAAATGCATAAATGAACGATTCTGACAAGGGAAAAAATACTATCACTTCTTTCCCCCTTTTAGGATTTGGTCCAAAAAGAAAAGACCAAGAGAGAAGAGCCACCAGAAGACAGAGCAAATCAGAAATCTTTTTTCTCAGGATTTGCAAGGGATTAGCAGGGAGCAACCACAGTGAGGGGCTGGAGAAGGTGCCAAAATAGGCACGGAATTAGAGATTGTGCCTGGAACAGGAGTCAGAGGCAGAGCCTTTGAAGGTGGAGATGGCTGGACTGCTAATAACAAGGACAACTTGAGAAAACCCCACTGTCACAGACTAAGTGGCTACTGAGCGTGCTGGACTAAGTGGCACACAGAAGTGAACATAACGCTTGGGTTTCTGACTCTCAGAGAAGGCCAGTGGCAGGACTGCAGGATAACACTGTAAGGAAACAAGGTCTCTGCCAGGGTTATTAGAGGAAAGTAACACATGTAAATATAATAGCCAACAAAAAAGATGGCTCTTCTCCCCACAGCTGTGAGAGGCATGTGAACAGTCACAGCTCAGCTAATTACAGCTAAATACCACTAGGGAGGGTCAGAAACAGGACTCGTTGTGAATTAGCCAGCTGAAGTGCTAATATAGTTTCAAGGGAGCTCTGACTTAGTTGGATGGACTCCAGTCCTATTTATAACCTAGAACAGTAGGGAAATGAGCCCTACTGACCTTAAATACTCCACAAGAAGCTTTCTCGTGGAACGTTAACAGTATCTTATAAACGTATATCTTAAGAGTGGCAAGCAAGTTGGCTAAAATGGTTTTCTTTGGCTTTTCATGCAATGGATGTTTATAGAATAAAACTCTTGAACTTCTGTTAAGATAGGTGCACAATGAGAGAGCCAAAATGGAGGAACATGTCCTGTAATGAGGACTTAATCAATGGCATGGTCGCCCACATGGCTAGGACAGAGCTAGGGCAGAGGGCTTTCAGCACCTTACCTGAGCCTTGTCACAGGAGATTCTTCCATGACTGGCTCCCCTCAACAAGACTGCCTCTCCCACTTCGGAACGCCACTATGTTGAATCATTAACATTTACCCAAACGTTACAGGGTTCCCCAAACACAATTTTTCACACAATCAAATTTTATTATACTAATTTACCACTTGGTTGACCATTTGCCTGTTTTTCAATACGTATGCTGATTACAACTTTTCACAGGTGTTATTAGCCCTTTGCAGAACATTACAGCCATAGGAAAAAATTCTAGAAGATGGCTGATTGATTCTATAATAACATACACTTTAAGGCACCGAAAACCGCCAACATTGCTCTCCAGAAGGGTTGTGATTGCTTGTGCTGCGTTCTCTGGTCAGAAAAGCAAGAGGCTATAACACACAATGGATCTTTCGCAATCAGCTGGGAAGTGAAAAAGTAGCTAGCACCATGGAAATATGGGCCACAAAACTAATCATAACAGTTCATCACTAAATAGTTCATCTACTGCAGGTGGGGTTCAGACCCTCACTCAGCGACTCTAGCTCTCCACATGGGGCACAGACCTGCCATAGTCACATTTCTGGTTTCACAACCGACAGGGGCCAAATGCAGCAAATCAGCAAGTGAGTGGGAAAAACCTGTTACTTGGGTGGATACCAAAAACGGAGAGAGTGACAGATGGGTAACAGGCTGGTTCCATAGCCCTGACCACCTGGGAGAGGTTCTGAACCATGACAGGTGGTGAAAGGGGTCCAAATATAAGGGACAGAAGAAGACTAGACTTCGGGTGATGTGTACACAATACAATATACAGATGATGTTTTATGGAATTGTACACTTGCAACTTATAGAATGTATTAACCAATGTCACCCCAATAAATGTAATTTAAAAAATAAAGTGTCCTTGAAAATGCTAAAAAGAGAAAGAGAGAGAGATTAACAACTGCACAATACTGTATACGTGCGATGTCTTTTGGAAATATTTTATGCAAAAAGCTCAAAACCGAATTAAAGTTTGGCTCCTAAAAACATTCCAGTTATCTGGAAAATTAACTTGGATTGACTTATGTGGAACATCTGGATGCTGGTCCTGCATAAATCAGGTGTTACAGCCCTGAACTACACACCCAGCACAAACCATCTACAGCTGAGAAAAGTTAAAATGTTCTTTACCCCTTTCGCTGGCACAATTCTCCTAATAAGCAGTTCTGAGCAATGCAAAGAAAACCTGGATTTCACTCTTTTTTTTTGCATTATTTGTGTGTCCATGGGGAAAATACTTTGCAGAGACCTAATATCTTCAACTGTGAAGTCCAAAGTCTGGGCTCAAGGACAGAGAGAGGCTGGGATAACGCCCACATTTCCCCCTGAATCTGACATTTTCTGATTTCTGATTCTGAAATCAGAAGCATTTCTCACCTTCACAATGGTCCCCAAGGGTGGATGCTCTGTAACCCTGGTCACAAACACAGCGGAAGGAACCCTCGGTGTTCCTGCACTGCCCATTAGCACAAAGATGCTGGTGCTGGCATTCATCAATATCTATAAGCCAGAGAGAAAATGGCAACTGTAGAAATGGTGCTTTAAAAATATTTTTAGTCATTCATACAGAGGAAGTCTATCAACTATCTTGTTTATAATTAACTTAGTTTAGGTTTTTCATTATGTAAATTAAACTGTCCTCTAGTAAAAAGTCATTAACCCCCTGGTAGAGAAAAATCCAGATGAATTTAAAATTTTAATCAACATGTTTACAGCCTGTCCATATTTATCCCACTGTTCACCGATGAGTAGCAAACGCTTTGGTGTCATCTGTAAGCCTCCACTAAACTTCTTAGATTTCCTTTATGGATTCTACTATGACACTGAGTTTCAAAGTACTTGGGCCTACAATAGTCTAAAGCAGGGTCAATACACGACAGCCCAGCGCCTATTACTGTAAATGAAATTTTACTGGAAAGTAGCACCACATATTCATTTACTCTCTGACCCTTAACTGACCTCTGATCATCGCACACACATAATTTCTTTTTCACTCATTTGCCCTTCAGTTCCATAATCATCAGGCTTCCGATTCCACCTCTCTACATAGAAATGATTATCTGGCCAAATCTAATGACCATTCCCTCTTCTCAGCTCATTTGATGTCTACGTTGCCAAGGGTCTCGCTTCCTTAACCCACATATCCCTGGTTTTGTAAGTTTCCTGTGGGCAGGGACGATGTGTGCAACAACCTCTATCACTTCTGAGATGACTTCGTGTTTTACAATGGGCAGGCATTCGGCTCACATTTGTTAACAGACTTTGTTCATAACATTCAAGTATATTTATCTACTTCTGGCGACATAATTCTGTGAGTAAACACGCACATCAGTTTCCATAGGGACCCCGCACCATTGCTCTCCCCAACTCTGATTACATCCTTCTTAGTGTTCACAGCATTTCTCACCTAAAATTGGTTTCCCCTATTAATAATCGGGTGACTGGTTCTGCATGTTTCTGACTTTTCTTTCGTTGTGATATCACAGGCTCTTCAAAAGAAAGGACCATGAATATTACAGCCTTATTACATTATGTATAGACCTCTTCTCATATTATACACTCATTGTAGTTTTCTCTGCATGGTAAGCATTTGATAAATGCTTAGCTAACTGAGGCCAGGAGTCACAAACGTATAAAACTTTGAGTGGCACTCATAGATCTAGAACCAATTACTTAATTTATCTGTGTAGATGAGTGTTCCTGTGTGTGTTCTAACATGCTTCAGTTTTAGACTAGGTGTTGTAAAGACTTTCTGTATTCTAGAAAGGAATAATTGGGAAAGGTTATGATAATATTGGTAGATCCCTTTGCGGTACCATCATGTATTGTCTCTCTTACGGCACCATCTCAGGAGACCTTTTTACTCATTAAATATTCAAAGTTTATATATAAACACAGATATGATTTATTTCCTTATAATAAAACTGATCTTGTATGGTGTATATTCTGTTCTTAGATAAATGACATTTCTTTTCAAGAACTTTGGACAGTTGTGCTTGTCACAGGTGATACATAATACCTTGAAGCTCAAGAAGTATATATTTATTGGAAAGTGAAGTAATTTTGTATGAAGTTCAATGAAAAATTTTTAAAGTCTAAGGCAAACCCCAGTGAGGTCCAAAATCTCACTATCACCTATAAGAACAGGACATATTTCACAAATGTTACCCCTGAATATAAGGGGACACTATTTATTTCAGCCTTGCTGATAAGTCGTCTCTGACAATGTATTTTTTAAAAGGAAAAAAATTTTAAAGCTAAATTTTTAATCCACACAAAACCTAAGGTCATTAACATTCCATGGCATACCAGGCTGATATAAGGACCTTCTAATTCCTGAAATCTTAGTTAAACTTCCAAATGGATTTAATAGACTTGATTTTCTGTAGTAAGGAATTATGGGGAGGGGCCATAATTTTTCTTCCTAATATTAATCAGTGGATTACCACTGATAACTAAACCATGGTTTTCAAAGTTAAGCTTTTTCCATGCTTTTTTGTTGACTTTCTTGACCTAAGTTTAAGTCCCTTGCTTTCTGGCACTATAAAGCAATCATCTAGGTAGTTCCTTAGAGACACACTCACTTTGCTAAGTGCACAATGTTAGGCCAGGTGTGTTAAGTTAAAATCCCAGTCGCTGACACTGCCACACGTACCTTCACACTGGTCTTTCGCTGCTGACAGCTGGTACCCCTGCCCACAGGTACACCTGAAGGAGCCCTCGGTGTTTTTGCACTGTCCATTTATGCACAGATTCCCTTGCTGACATTCATCAATATCTGAAAACACAAACAGTGGCAACTGTTTTAAATTAGGTCCTATCTAGAGACCCTCTTTAGCTAAACTTTGAGACCATAACTGAAAGCCCTCCCTTTCCAGGTGGCCTTTTGATGCATGACCAACAACAGCAACAACAAAATTCTATAAACAAAGAATAAGGGACCACCCAGGAGACCATAGTGCTCTCTACAATGCATTCTGGGATTATGATTATAAAAATAATAGCACTTCCTCAATGAGGCACTATAAACTTTAGTATGATTCAGCCCACCAGAGTTCCTCATACCAACCTCAGTATGCTAAATTGTAGAACGGAAATAGCTACAAAGAGATGGTAAATTTATGAGCAAGTTAAAGCTACTTTTAATATAACACCAAGCCCTTCGCCATCTCTCTCATACTTTGGATATGGCTGAAATATAATATGAAATATTTTAGAGAGAACCTCGAGCACAAAATAATGACAACCCGGCAGTTTGTAGACCTATAGAATTTCATGACAGAAGGCAGAGTGCAGACTCTACCAAGAATTAAAAAGACAAAACCATAATGCAAGCAGTTAGGGAGAGAAAAAGACATTTCTATTGTGTTTAGAAGCTGACAAAAGTATAAGGTCAAATATTTGTGTTAAAAGACACTGAACCTATTTGAAAAAAAACAAGGAAAGCCAAGTGAAATGATGACATCATTAGGACGGCTGCTGGGATGTCAAAAAAGAAAGTGGTGAGAATTTTTTTAAATGCCTTGATTAAACATACAGCTATTGGCCAAGAAAGAATATGATTTTTGTAAGTGTTCTAGAAAATGTCATGTATACAAATTCATACAAATGAAGAAAGGACTGGCCTCATCAATAACTTGAGAACACATGTGGTAGAAGTAGAGATAGTTTTCTAAATGTTTTTATTTGGCCATGAGGTTGGTCTGATATAATTAAATAATTCTGCCCTGAACAGATGAAAACCACACCAGCCTTATACTCAGAGGCGGGGTGCTGGGGGAGCCCTAATCTAAAAATAGCAGAATTTGTTTTAAGGAAACCATGTCCTAATGATCAATGTTTGACTATTGTTTTCTTCTAACACTATCTTCTTTAAAATGCAGCTAAAAGTTTTCCCCAGGAGAACTCAATTAACTGCACAGTCCTTGCCCTCAAGTATTATTGACAAGTACCTGTTTCCTGAGCAAAGCTGCATTTCTTAACCTCTCATGAGGCGTTACCCTTTGGAATTTTATCCTGATATAAGCAAGGTCGTGAGTTAGCCCATGTTTCCTGAAAATGCTCACGTAAATTATTAATGTAATTGGAGTTCAGGAGTTTATTTCTTATTTAATTGTATATACAAATTACTTTAGTTTACAAGAAACTTTTATTTGTTTCATATTGTGCTATTGATCCCTTTTATTTATGAATAAGTCCTGGCTGCCAACTATTGATTGCCAATACAAAAATTTAATAAGCAAGCTGAATTTCATGTTAAGAATTATTTTATGCCTTTCCAACACACTCTAAGTCTATCAGCTTTAGGAGCGGTCAACAGCAAAGGGCAGCCTACACCATAATTTCTTTCAGCACATCCTATAAAATAGTTAAGATCTTTCAGTTCAACAACTTTAGACCAACAACAGCTCATGTAGCTGGTTGGATCTCACGTAATGTCTGACAACATTTTTAGTGCCTTGGACTCTTTTTGACTTTCTCAAAGAGGATGACAAATTAAGCATTCCCATGTGAAGATGTCTGCCGCAAGAATATACCCTCTATTCCAAGTACTGTCAGGATAAGCCAGACATCTTACATAAGTTACTCATTTATATTGGGAAAGCTGTCAGAAGTAATTCATTATAAGTAATGACACACACATTTGGAATAACTTGAAGCCACCCAGTTATCTTGAATAAGGTGATCTTTAGGTATTCAATACAACTAAGGGGAACAGAGGCAGTTTAATTCTACAGATAAAAAGGCATTTTCCTTTTCAAGTGAAGGACAGAAGAAAGCTTTCCAATAAAACAGGCATGTAGGACAAATGTCTTCTTTCTTTTGTTCCAAGTGATGAATGGAAAATATTATTCTCCGCGGAACATATTTCATTAAGGGACTTTTTGCACATATTACTATGACAAGTCTAGCTCAGAGTTAAAATAGAGACTATCTCTAGTTACTTACAAATTTAGGACATACGGTGCTAAAATGTACAGATGCAAAGAGCTACAAAGACAGATAGAAAAGACACAAAGAAACAAGTAGCAATTAATTAATACATTAGATAATGTATTTGCAACTTGGAAAAGGTTGTCAGTACATTTAATGAGGTGAAGACAAAGTCAGTATTTAGGACTACCAACAAGGTGCAATTGGCAGAGTTGCTATAAAGTTGGAAAAGGGACAGATTTACGATCTGGGAAGACTTCGACATCTGTGGGCCGATGTGTTTTAGGAAAGATTATGAAATAATTAAAGAAAGAGGGTGTTACATAATTTATTATTGTGAAAAGGAAGGGCTTTGCTTGGGGAGTAAGGAAAACAGTTAATGGATCTGTAGGTTTCTAAAGCAGAAGATGGGGATGTTGCCTAACTGCACCCCAGGTTACAATGGCCAAGACACCATGAGAATCGGAGCAGAGCGCAAGGTGAAGTGGCAGGTGCGGTAACAGCCCTTTCCCACCTCTCCACGCTTTGACATGTGCTGTTTTCTCTGCCTACGACGCTTTTCTCCCCTTTGTATTCAATATTTTAAGACCAAGTTCAAATGGCAACACCTCAGTGAAGCTTTCCCAGAAGCACACACGCAGAACTAGTCGCACGCTACTTGGCTCTAACAGAACTTCGTATGTGCCTACAATTTGGCGAATAGCATCATTACCTACACCATCAACTACGATGTGTTGTGCTCTGCGCCTGCATTATCTCATTCTCCGTGTATTATCTCTGTTCCTGTATTATCTCACATAATGCTCACATCAACCCTAGCGTGTACCATTAACGTTGCCTTCTTGCAGACAAGCAAGTAAGGCTTAGTGAAGTAAGAGAACGTAGCCAAACTTACACAGCTTATGAGTGTCTAAGCTAGAATCTGATATACTTTTTTTAAAAAAACCTCGACACTGAATTTTATTTGGATTTCACCAGATTTTTCATTCATGTCATCGTTCTGTTCCGGACTTCATTCAGGGTACCACGTTACATTTAGGTGTCTCGTTTCCTTGTGTTTCTTGTTTTGTCTTGAGGGAATGGGCCAGAAGCCTGTAAAATGTCCCCTGTCTGGATTTGGCTGATGTTTTCCTCATGAATTAGACTGGAGTTACGAGCTTTTGGAAAGAATAGCACAGAGGTGAACTACCCTAGTCCTCACAAGGTCAAGGGTCCATGACATTCACACGACATCACTGATGATGTTAGCCTTCATCGCTTGGTACTTAATTATCTGTTGCAGGTTTGCATCTCTTCCAAGGAGTAAAAGTTCTTAGAGAGATTACAGCCTCTCACCAACCTCTGCAGCTGAAAACAGTACCTGGAACATGTTAGTTCCTTCATACACCAGACGGCAAGGAAAGGAAGGCTGAAGAGAATTTCTGCAGCAGCCCAGCAGAGTGCCTCGCAGACTGAAAAACATGAGCGTTCCTAGGGGTGGCATCAACTGACGGCGTGAATTCTGAGGTGCCAGAGAGACCGCTTAGAGAGGGGCGGCCACAGCAGCGATGGCAACGGCCAAGGGTAAGAGCGTGGTAAGGAGTCATTCATTCAACATGTGTTTACTCTGAGCATGGGCCATCTACAGAGTCCACTCCCCACATTTTAGGGATGTCATAAGATCTGGAAATCTGAGAGTATTTATCCAACCTTGCATGGCGAGCCACTGAAGAGCCATGGTTCAGGTAAGCAGCGAGGAACAACATGAGCACGCAAGGCAGGATAATCACACGCGAGTGCTTGGGTCAAAATAAGCACAGAACAGTCACAGGTCGGTTGTGACGTCGATTTGGATGGGTCAGAGAAGGCATGTTGAAGAAAGCAGTAGCGACAAATAAATTTGGAATATGAAGAGCGGGACAGGTTATGAGTGTTTTAATGAATAAGCTGATGAAAAGACACAGGCAGATTAGGGAGAAAGAAGATACATGACAGGATATGACAATAAAGTAGATGCAGTCATCAAATAAAGATGAACAATGACTTTTAATGCTTGAGATTTTCATCCACCATGAACCCTGTGTATGAGAGAGAAGAAATAATACCTTTCAGGTGATTCTCATGTTTAATTTGGTCTGAGATGCCTGGCTTAAGGAGTTAATAGGAAAGCTGTGGACGTGAGCCAGGAGGGAAAGACCGGAAGAAAAGGGAGGTGGGTCTACTTTATATGCTCCAGTGGGACTGGCTGGTATTCTGTTGCATGAAGTAAGGCACCAAATTTAGATGTCTGTGAATTCCCTCTTGCCAGCGCAAGATGATTCAGTTTTACAGGACAGTAGGGTATCCATTTACTGCTTGCTTACCACAGTGAGAAAGTAATCATTAGCCGAGATACTTCACTTACATTGAGACACTTACTTAGGAAAGAAAATTTTTACTGATTTCCTCTCCTTTTACCTTTGAAAGAGCATGCTTTTATGTATTAAAGCAGTGGAAGGCAGCAAAAGAAAACAATCCATAGATTTGGCTACAGAAATAATTAAGAAGTCCTTTTAAAAAAAGAATTATAAAAAAATTAGGGAAGCCTTGGACAAGTTACAGCAATATACCAAGAAAAAAGATATAATATATATACATACACGTACATAGGCTTATATATATTATATACAAAGTGTTCATATACTTTGATTTTAAAAACCTGATAAATGAGAAAAGATATTAATATAAAAGAGAAAATATAAATGTTTAATTAATGTTCAATAAAAGTTATTAGTCATTATATTATTTATTAATGAAATAAATGTTTAATAATTAGAAGTGTTCAGGAAATTATTAAAGGAGATAAGTATTAAAAATATTAAACCTTTTACAATATACATTTTAAAAATCAGAAATTAGTGTTCTATCAAAATAGTAAAAAAATTCTGAACATCTTATCCATAAATCCACTTTTGTGAATAATGAAATAATCCTAAAGTTCAGACATAAGTTTCTTTTTAAAAAATGAGACTATTAAAGTATTTTTTTCACATAATAATGAGAAGTTGGGGGAAAAAAACGTTTGCTCAACACCCGAAGAACAGCAAGAAAATGGTGACATAGCGACATACTGGAATGTTATACAGCCTTTCAAATAATTTTGAAAAGCATAATTAATGACATGCAAAATGCTGACATACACAATTAAGTGACAAAAAGCAGGATTCGAAATTGTACACAGAATATAACTACAGAAACATACATGAGATAGAAATATCTATGAATGAGATTATATTGTTACATTATCTTTTTTACCTTTTGCATTTGCTAAATTTTCTACAATGACTACAGGTTTTTTTAATAGCAATTTCACTGAGGTATAATTCACATACCATGCAAACTCACCTATTTCAAGTGTACAATTCAGTGTTTTTAGTATATTCACAGAACTGTGCAACTGCATATATTATTTACATAATGAGAAAAACTGAAATAAATAGATCTATGGTTTATAGATAGCCTGTAAAAATACACGTCTTCCTTTATGTAAACAGATCTGATCTGTATTAAACCACGACGAGGAGCCACTTTCAAAGATGCCAACCCAAATAAATGTGCCCGAAGTAGCTAAGTCAAAATAAATGACAGGTAGCATGGTACCTTTTCTATGGCTAGTTACACTCTCACATATTCTTAATGGAAGTTCAAATAAAACTAGAAATTGATCACAGCAGTTACCTTTACAGTGCTTGTGGTCTGGAGTCGGGGTATAGCCCCTGTGACATGAACACATGTAGGAGCCTTCAAGGTTGGAGCAAGTACCGTTTGTGCAGACCTTCGGTTCCTGGCACTCATCCACATCTTGAAGAACGTTGCATAATGGAAAGGGAAAAAACAAACAAAGAAACAAAAAGAAATCGAACAATTATAAAGCTGAATTTAGTTAGAAATGGAAATGGTGGATTTTCTTTGAGATAAGCTTTCAAATTAGCTGTCAGATGGACAAGAAACTCAGGTGTGGGCTGCATGGATGTGGGTTCTATGCCTGAACTTCCTTCCTTAACGACTTTCTGAAAAGTCACTATGAAAAGAAGCCAAACATGCTCTGTGAGTAAATTCAATGGGAAGCCTGTTGTAAGGGGGTGGGGGAAAGGGAGCAATATCCCCTGCAAAATAAAATACTCCAAGGAAGCAAAGACGTGTCGAGGCCTACCTGGGGAACAGATGAATTCAATAGGATGTGAGGATTCTCAGAAGCAAAAGCCAGGACTCATGACCCGGAGAAACCACAAGAAAATGCGTAAAAGAAAGGTGAAAAGAAACCTCTAATAAAATGTTCTAAGGGCCAGCTGAGTGGCTCAGTTGGTTAAGAGCTCGCTCAAGAGTTTGAGCTCTGAGCAACAGTGGTTCGAGTCAGCCCGAGCTGAGCAGCCGCGGAGCTGCCAACAGGTGGCGGGATGGCTCAGCTAAAAAAAAAAAAAATGTTCTAAGATGGTATTGAATCAGCATCATAAAAACCAATCTAAGGGTAAAATATAAGCCTACTTGGACAGTTTGAAGGTAGGGTACAGGCTGCAGAGGCAGACTAATAGTAACAGCAAATTTTATCAACCTCTAAGCTACATGCAGGCACCAAAGGCTTCACATATATTACTATATCTCACTTAATGCTAACAAAATCCAGAGGCGCTAACCATTTTACGGAGGAAGGAACTGACACATAGAGAAGTTCAATAGCTTGCCCAAGGCACAGAGTTAGAAAATGTTGGCTCTGAGATTTGTATCCAGTTAGAATTAACTCCAAAGCCCATCCTCCCAACCTGACTGTAAGTTTCCACCACAAAGTTAAGTCTAGTGACAGTAGAGTGTATGCGTTTGTATTTGTTTTTGTTATTTGCTAACATGGCATTTATATAGAAGACCATTATGTAAATGTTCACTGATTTCATTAAACAAACATTATAAGTGCCTATGAGAGCACTGCTAATTAAAAAAATAATAATAATGAAGTTCTGTGCCCCGTTTAAATGCCCTGGGTAAGTCCACTGCATGTGGTGGGGGAAGACATACAAGGTAGCATGAATGACCAAAACCTTAGAGGAAAAACAACCCACCAAGTGCTATAAATACACAGCATCATAATTTAGGCTTAATTTTATAAGCAATCCATAACTTAAAGCATCTTAATCATAAGGCAGAGAAACAATAAGGAGGAGACGGTTCTTGATTGCACCCATTTCATTTTACCATGCTCGCCACCAAAGCAGTATAGCTTCCTGCCCTCTTAATGTTACCAGCAGAGTCATGAACACACTCACAACAGAGGTCTAATTTGGGTTAGCAATCCAAAGTTTGATTGCATTCATTTGCACTGCATTTCATTACAACTGTAGTCCACCTTTCTTACAATAGAATTCAGAAATAAAGTATAAACAAAATAAGGCAAAAGGTGCCTGTTTGTGTGTGTGTGTTCCATATGCATATTGAGAACAGCCAAGCAATTAGCCACGCCTAGGTCCCTACCCAACTTTCACAAAATCACTAATTATGATGAACTGACCTTGACTTCATGACAGCAAAAACAGCACTTCCAGACGGACTCATTATCCATCCTTCCTTTGGTTGTGGGGCTCCACTTTTGTAAACATGGAAAGCAAACTACTGGAAAGAAGCCTCCAAATACTGGAGCCAAAGTAAATACTGGGACAGAAGGAGCCTAAACACTCAGCATGGAAATTCCTGACAGCAACGTGAAAATGTCATGTCTGGTATCTGGTTTGATTTCAAGAACAAAGTTGAACAAGTTGAAAAACGTATGGATTGCTCTCTTTAATTATTCATGCAGCAGGGCATGTGACTTACAGGGCTGCAGAAAGTAATAGCAAAATCAATTTAAGACCATATTTTCTCTACTTAATTAACAGACATTATGGGTTACTATTCATGAGACACTTATAAAAATTATATTTTACCAAGCTACTACCATGATTAACGATGAAGCAGAATGCCTTGAAATATCTAGACTAGACTGATGTGTTTATTCTTTTCTTATTACAGACATAATTGCATGGAACCTGGATCCCATCAAGTCAATCACTTACATGTAGATACAACAGCTGGAATTGAATGAGTACCTTAGACTGAATGAAGTTTATACGCTTAAGGAAATAACTATTTAGTAAGACATCACTAAAGAATCTCTATATGGGGTCAAAAGGTACAAACTTCCAGCTATAAAGTAAGTATGTCATGAGACTGTAATGTGCAGCATGGTGATTATAGTTATAATACTACATTTCATATTTGAAAGTTGCTAAGAGAGTAGATCTTAAAAGTCCTCATCACAAGAAAAAAGATCTATAGCTAAGTCGAGTGACCACTGTTAACTCAACTTACTGTGGTGAGCATTTTACAACGTATACAAATACTGAATCACTGTGTTACACACAGGAAATTAATATAACATTATATGTCAACTATATATCAATTAAAAAAAGAATGTCTATAGAGAATGAAAGTGTCTAGCAGGGGGCCTCACTTGGTAGATATAAGAGAAGTGAAATAAACTTGGTGTTTTATCTTTAGCCCAGACCTACCTCCCAAACTGCACATCCCTGTACTTACTTGGTCAGACATCTCGACTTGATGTCCTCTTGGCACCTCTGAGCCTTCTCAGCCCAAATGGACCATTCCCGCTTCCTTCTCTTTATTCTGTTTCCCATGTCAATATATGGTACTACTCCCCCACTCAAATCCCCAGGTCAGAAACTTGGGTATCATCTTTCTAGATTTCTTACTCTTTCCCCACATACAGTTTATTACCAAGTCATATCAATTTTACCTTTCAAATATCTCTCGAATACACCAACTTTATTTTGTTCCTATACTACCATTCTCTCTCACAAGGGTGACTGCCACAGTCTTTTAATTTGTTTCTCTACTTCAAGTTTTACCGTCTTCTAACCCATTATCCAAACTGCAGCCAAGGAATCTTTCTAAAATACAAATGCGATCAATGGTGTTGCTCCTCTACTTTAAAAATCTTCATTGGTTTCCAGTGTTCTTCAGTTTCATCAAGGACATAAACTTGTGGGGCCCTGGGTGGTATTTACAGAAGGGCTGGCCCCAGGGATCGTTCCAACTCTTGAGAGGATCAGCCCTTGGGAAGCAAGGTGGTCTTGACACACTTCACCAACCATCATTCACAGCCCCTTACTTCTCCTGCAGCAGAGGGAGACGGTCATGCTTTTTGTTTTCTTTATTGGAGCTCAAAACTCATCTTACTCTAGGATTAGTCTTATACAAGAGCCACAGTACCCAAATTCTTACAATGCATATATATTCACTTCAAAAGGGAAACTTGGGCCGGCCGAGAGGCGCGATGGTTAAGAACTGGCTTGGGATGCCAGAGGGCCCCGGTTCGGATCCCACATATGAGGGCCAGTGACACTGCCCTCCAGAGCTAA